TGAGGACACTTATTTTCTTGTCACTGAAACTTCCTACATTTCGTTGTCAACTTTACAAAGCAAAGCAATTTTTAATGTGACTATACGAAATTCTGAAAAAATGTACATTCGTATGCGTAACTGTGATTTATATAGCCCTTACTCACTAATTGTTATATTCATCGATCTGGGCTCTTGGATTCTCAATTTGTAAAATTAGAACTTACATGACGACTATTGAAATATAAGTTTTTTCCAGAGTTACTTTGACTATGCGGTTCCAGGTGAATAAAACGGATTAACACACGCAGGCATTGTAATGAAGGTTATTGACCACCGAGGTTAAAGCAATAATTTTCAGCGATAAATGCTGACCATTTTTGTTTCCAACATGCAATAACTCATGATTGACTCGCCTTTGGTGATGCTCGCAGGGTTTTTTCACAAATTTCCGAGGTTAGTTATGAGCAAACCCCTACATTCAGCCAAATTAGAGGGTTTGATCGCACCAACTACAATCTTTGTTCTATTTTTAAAGGGGTTTACGGAGGGACTATTTCGATTGAAACAGTTGGGAAGCGAAGGCGTTTACACGTGAATTTTAAAGAAACATATAAAATAATAGTAGGCTTGCGGTGACTATGTTCGAGTGCCTTTCCTTTCATTCGGAGAAGCGAGTGAGGTGGAAAGTTGGCCCCCTCGGAAGCTATAGCGGGATCGCTTCGGGGCTGACTGTAGACTTGTTAGCCGAGGATCTATTCGCACAAACCTATATCACAGCTCCAAGGCAATCTTTCTATGTTTCCGACGAGACCAATTTACGAATCCCTTCCACTCGTCTCTCCAAACTAAACAAAAGCTAATCCAACATCAATTTATCGAGAGATTACTTGGAACCCACTTTTGTACATATCGATGCGACTATGCCCGACTAAAATTTTGGGTTTGGTAGACTGTGTTGGATATCATCGTAATAGAAAACAAGGCTGATTGGCCTATATCAGCGCTGAAGGAAGCCAGTCAGAGGCTAGAGTAGGGTTCATTTCTCTTTGAGAAGTGCGTGCGTAATCTGCGTACTATATAAATTAAACTTCTTTTAATGCTGGCAGCGAGAGCATACAAGGGTTTCAAAAAAGTATATATCAACTAGTGAATATACCTGCAGACGGCGGCAACTGCACGGGAATTATATTTTTGAACAGGCTCCTATTGTATAAAATTCGTTTGACCTTGTTTTTTGCATTTTGATCGTGGTGTTTAGGAGACCTAGGGAGACGCATCTTGTCCAGATTTTATACCATCAGTGATAATTTACAGTCGGACGCTTCGCCTTTATTGTCAGGCAGTCTTACCATTATCAGCACCAAAATACAACTCGCAAAATAAACAAATGAAGTGGATGTGAATGTACCAAGTCCACGGTTAGACCCTGGCAATCATCATGAATGTGGACTCCGAACAAGGTGCGTTCCTTTAGATCTGCTTGACAATACGACCAAGTTGCTAAAACAAGGCCAAAAAACATTTACTTATTCTCTGACCCTCATTCCGGTGAGTGTCCATAAAGCACTGCGTCTACTAGAGACCAGCTGACACATCGACAACAGGTTATCTAGACAGAAAGCAGCATATGTTTGTGGATCCAAAAATAAGAATTGGACGAGCACATGGTTCGAACAGAACATCAGATGTGGTTCAATGCAAAAATAACGGTTATATAGATTACAAACTAGAGGGGGATTAGTAGCTTATAGCCGAAACCCTGAATATGTCAGGCATAAAATACTGAGGCTGTTTTCTGTTGTCAGAAATAAAGGAAGAGGTGATATCAGGCAAAAGGAATAATCAGCATACATATAAAAGCAAACAAGTATCTCCATGATTAGATCCGAGGGGAAGTTTTAACTTTAGCAGTCTTAATGGGTTTTCATTTTAAACAGATTCTAAGTCAAGAAGACGTTTCCATATCCGCGCTATGATAAACAATTATTAGTTTATGATAGGATTTATTATACTCTGAGGCGCGTACCGAGGACTCAAACGATTTTGCTGCATGCACAGAATACATCTGTAACAAAACGCAATCGCATTCATCTTCAAAGGTATGCAATATTTGGGTAAGATTAAAAACGCGACCAAGACACGAGTATGAGAATGCCTCAAAGTCCATTCCAGGACATGCAAGCAATCGACTAGATAGACAACACAACGTCCTTAAATATGACAAAAAAAGCAAAGGATAACAGGTCCGAGAACGTCTGCATACCTCTATTCCAATTTAAGTAATAAGTCACAAATGTAATGTACATCACAAGTCTGAAATTGATTACTTGAGACCAAGTTACTGTTGATCAAGGAATCGATGTTTTTAATCAGCGTAAAGCCACAGGAACAAGTGGTTCGTCTAGAAAAGATAGTGACTAAGGTGAAGGCAAAAATGTTAATTAAAAAAATAGAGCTGGAGAAAACAATAACTAAAGGGATATAGAGCCGAGATGTCGGGTATATTTACTCAAGGATTCAACACGGAGTACGCGTAAATAATCATCAATCATATAAATGATAATGCGTGGTTTTTACAAGTGTTCAGAGTAAACTGAATTATGAAGGGTAAATGTGCGAGAAGGGAGTGATACAGTCTAATACAAGTTTGGTTCATAAGTTCATGTCAACTAGTGGAGGGTTTGTGTTAAGTCTGGAGATATATAAATTGATTTATAGATAGTCAAAAAGTTAAATAGCATGAAAAAAGATGATATGAACGATAAGAATTGGCATATCCATGGGAATAATAAGAAATCAGCAACTCAGTACACATGAACCATGCCGTAAATAAACGTCCAAAAGAGAATGTAAGTAGTCATTTCTCCAAAAATTCCGTGGATTAAAAGAGACGACTTTTGCAAGAAATACTTTCTCCAATTGCTTCCGGCTTTTTGCATCATCAAAAGAGATAGTATACAGCTAGTCAGCAAATAAAATAAGAAGCCCATTAAGCCTGAGGCAATAAAACAACTTAACTACCTGTTAGTCCAAGAATGCCAGCCGTACATCCGGAGATAGCGGCTATAGAAGTTCTGCAATAGCCAACAACAGTGAGGTTATGCTGAGTAGCCAAAGGGCTATAAGCAATAGGTTCAAAGGAAGGATCAGACATATTTTTAAAAAGTGCTGTTGTTACAAAACAATTTTTGTTTGAAACTAATGAATTAAAATATTACTAAGAATCTTTATGTTTAAACGGCAAGTACTAAAACAGTGTAACGAACAAAAGGCGGAATGCTTAAAATGGTCGGCATCTTCTTATTATCCTTCTGTAGTAAGTTTTTCCTTGGGTTATGTAGTTGAAATTTTTGGACTAGGATTACTTTCTTATAGTCCTTGCTTTTATAACGTTTGTTTTGTATTTTTAAAATATCCTAGCTTTCATATGTCATTCACCTACGTGTTACTTTTCATAATTTTTATAACGACTTTATGGGAATTATGGCTGTTGTGTCTACGTACTCTTACATTCTTTTTTCTAACTTACTGTCGAATATTTTGCAGATCTCATGTCATTCACCATGTTTTCATTATATTCATACTTCATTACTAAGCCTCGATATAATTTTTCTAAATATTTTATTCAAATTTGTAATTTATTTTAATTATGAATAATTGGATTTTAGGATAGCTTTATGGTTCCCCTGGATACCTTTCATTTTTTCATTATGAATGAGATATATGAAAGAGTGATAGCTCAGCATTGCTACCAAATTGGCTTTGAAAAGATTTCGGGGCCAGCCCTGGAGGTTCTTACAGATGTTCTCGATAGGTATCTTAGATCGCTGAGTAAGCACATAGCAAATTCATCTGACATGAGTAAGTTATTTTATTTTCTACCAATTGTGTTATGCTTCATTTATTCTTATTTCATGGTTATTTGCTTTTACTCAGCGTTTAGAATTTTAATTATCTGAACTTCTTGTATTTATCTTGCAGCTTTTTTTTATATTCTTGTAACTTTGATGCTTAATTGTTGCACTTCTCTGCCATTCGTATCTTTTACAGGAAACTAGTAATCATAGTATATCACAAACTTAATTTGCTTGGCCCTCTATTATTATA